TAATTTGCATAAATTGTGTTTTGTTTTTCAGGTTCAGGACAGTAACTATTAATTTTCTCATTGAAATTGGTACTTAAATTTGCCTAGATTGTGTGTTTTGTTTTTCAGATTGTAGAGCATATAATTAATTTTTTTCTCATTGAAATTGGAACTTTTTTCAGGTTAAAGACAGTAACTGTATTTTCTCATTAAAAATGGAACTACTTTGAATAAATTGTGTGTTTTGTTTTTCAGGTTCAAAACAGTAATTAATAAGTGTATTTTTCATTGAAATTGGAACTAATTTAAATACATTGTTTTGTTTTTTGTTTTTTTTTTTTCAGGTTAAAGACATATAGTAACTGTATTTTTATGACGTCGAGCTCTTGGAGCTCGAACGTCATCTAGCGATCGGCCAAGTGAAATCGCCAAGGGATGTACGCGACCGAATGTGTCAGTGGATGCATCCGCAATAGAAAATAGCAATAGCTATAAACCAATTTCTTTTAAAACGCTCACAATGAATAATTATAGCTTGAAAATGAAATTGCATCAATTGTATCTACAATTAATTTTTTTACAAAACAACGATATTATGTTTTATTTTCACACAATAAAAACGTGATGGTTGTTGCGGATGAATTTCTACAGAAAGGTGCGTCGAATGACATGAATAACATTTTTGAACGATAACCGTGGAACACAAACAACCCAACAGGCGGTAAAATAATTTACAAAATTACATAAACACGAATACTATAAGACTGAAAAGATTGAATTTGTAAATCTTAGCTTTACTTTTACAATCTTCTGACCAACTTTATCCTAAAAACCGATGATGTTGACCAGTATTACCATGATTACTGTATTTCTCTATTTCCTCCATTTCCCAGTATACCGTATACCACGCCCGATCGTAACTCGATCGTAATTGTAACAGAACAGTCTTGGTTGTAGTTTAGATGCAATCACTAATACAACGCTTTGACATTGGCAATTAGAAAAAAATATTATATAAATTTATGAAATCCTTCATAGTTCTTCAACTGACTGAAAAGAATTTAGCATGAAACATGTTCGACGGTGTCTGGTCAATTCGAACCCTGCTCCATTCGGACCATGACATAAGGCCCCAGACTGTAATTGTGATATTTTGTTTAAAACTATTTTTTTTATTATTTCTCCTGAGTCACTCACTTGACTTATTGCTATCTTCAAATTCAAAATGATCTTTTGAAATTGTTTTTCTTCTTCGACGTCATTGAAGCCTTTCAGGCTTTTGATTTCATTTGAAATTGGAACTAACTTGCATAGATTTTCTCAGTTCTGTTTTTCAGGTTTAAGAAGTAATTGTATCAGTTTTTTTGTCATTATTGAAATTGGAACTAATTTGAATTGATTGTGTGTTATGTTTTTCAGGTTTAAGAAGTATAATTTCAACTGTATGTATTTTCTCATTGAAAGTGGAAATAATTTGCACAGATTTTGTGTTTTGTTTTTCAGGTTAAAGACGTAACTATTGTCTTATTGAACTTGGAACTAATTTGAATAGATAGTGGATTTTTTTTGTTTTGTTTGTTTTGTTTTTTCAGGTTCAAGAAGTTACTAATTGTATGTATTTCTCATTGAAATTGGAACTAATAGATTGTGTCTTTTGTTTTTCAGGTGAAAGACAATATATATATCCATTTTCTTGCATTAAAATTGAAACTTATTGGAATAGATCATGTGTTTGTTTGTTTGGGGTTTTTTTCCAGGTTATAAACAGTAACTGTATTTTCTCATTGAAATTGGAACTAATCTGCATATATTGTTTTTTGTTTTCAGTTTAAAGACAGTAACTAATGTATTTTTTTTATTGAAGATACAAGTAATTTGTAGATCATTGTCTGTCTGTCTGACTGTTTGCTTCAGGTCCCATTAATACAATTTGCAGATATTAAAGCAAACCTATAAATGCATTGTTTATACTGCAGATATTGCAGCAAACCTATAAATGCTTTTTTTTTATATAATGCACATTTCAGAAGCTGCATATTGAGAGGTATACCTTTCAGGCTTATCATTGACTATTGTTTAGGATTAAACTGTCTTTAGTTTCATCTGACAAAAAGATTGAGAATTAAAAATTATTCTGATAACCAAACTTGACCAGGTATATTTTAATAATTATTATGAATATAAGAATTAGCATTGGGATGCACACATTGAATCAACATCAACAATTAATGTAGTATTGTACACATGACATTTCTGTGATATATCTGGTATTATGGGAATTTATTGTAGTATTGTACACTTGACATTTCTATGATATATCTGGGATTACAGGAATTTATTGTAGTATTGTACACTTGGCATTTCTATGATATATCTGGGATTATGGGAATTTATTGTAGTATTGTACACATGACATTTCTGTGATATATCTGGGATTATGGGAATTTGTTGTAGTGTTTTATACATGACATTTCTATGATATATCTGGGATTATGGGAATTTATTGTAGTATTGTACACATGACATTTCTGTGATATATCTGGGATTATGGGAATTTATTGTAGCATTGTACACTTGGCATTTCTATGATATATCTGGGATTATGGGAATTTATTGTAGTATTGTACACATGACATTTCTATGATATATCTGGGATTATGGGAATTTATTGTAGTATTGTACACATGACATTTCTGTGATATATCTGGGATTATGGGAATTTATTGTAGTATTGTACACATGACATTTCTATGATATATCTGGGATTATGGGAATTTATTGTAGTATTGTACACATGGCATTTCTATGATATATCTGGGATTATGGGAATTTGTTGTAGTGTTTTATACATGACATTTCTATGATATATCTGGGATTATGGGAATTTATTGTAGTATTGTACACATGGCATTTCTATGATATATCTGGGATTATGGGAATTTATTGTAGTGTTTTATACATGACATTTCTATGATATATCTGGGATTATGGGAATTTATTGTAGTATTGTAAACATGACATTTCTATGATATATCTGGGATTATGGGAATTTATTGTAGTATTGTACACATGGCATTTCTATGATATATCTGTGATTATGGGAATTTATTGTAGTATTGTACACATGGCATTTCTATGATATATCTGGGATTATGGGAATTTATTGTAGTATTGTACACATGACCTTTCTATGATATATCTGGGATTATGGGAATTAATTGTAGTATTGTACACATGACATTTCTATGATATATCTGGGATTATGGGAATTTATTGTAGTCTTGTACACATGACATTTCTATGATATATCTGGGATTATGGGAATTTATTGTAGTGTTGTACATATGGCATTTCTATGATATATCTGGGATTATGGGAATTTATTGTAGTATTGTACATATGGCATTTCTATGATATATCTGGGATTATGGGAATTTATTGTAGTATTCTATGATACATCTGGGATTATGGGAATTTATTGTAGTACATGTATTTTACACATGACATTTCTTTGATATATCTTGGATTATGTGAATTTATTGAACAATAGTATTGTACACATGACAATTGTATGAAATATCTGGGGTTATGGTAATTTATTGTAGCATTGTACAGATGCCATTTTCTATGATATATCTGGGGTTATTGGAATTTATTGTAATATCAGACCTGGCAACCCTTCCACTTTTGGCATAATTCTTCTGCTTTCTAAAACTAAAATAAGTTGTTATGCCATGACAATCAATTTTATGCTTTTAAAATTTTTATGCTGAAAAAATGCATTATGTAATATTTTTATGTTGGTCAGTTATGATTATTGCTTCCTTTGTATTATACTTTAACAGTACCATAAGCTCAAGAAGTATTTAACACAATTTATTGAATATCTTCTCGCTCAATTTAATGCTAGTAGGTTGTAATTAAATGTAAACTGTAATTTGCAATGACTTAATGACTATCACAAGCAATTGACCAATTACTTCATAAAGGTTAAAGAAATGATAAGATTTGTCTGAATGTTAGAATGTCGTTGTTTTACAACAAATGAAGTTAATGTTAATAATGAATGATTTAAAACATTTTTACTCTCTTCATTTTATGATATATAGCAGGCAGAATTGTTTAGATGAGATAGAAATGCGATGAGATGACAAAATTGTAAAATTTGAAGAATTATGCTTTTGCCTCTGAAATTCCACCAAAATTAAGCTTTAGACTACATTTCTGCAATGAAAAGGGTAGGCAGGTCTGTTGTGTTGTACACGACATTTTCTGTAATATCATCTGGGGTTATGGGAATTTGTTGTAGTATTGTACACATGACAATATTCTATGATATATCTGGGGTTATGGGAATTTATTGTAGTATTGTACACATGACAATATTCTATGATATATCTGGGGTTATGGGAATTTATTGTAGTATTGTACACATGACAATATTCTATGATATATCTGGGGTTATGGGAATTTATTGTAGTATTGTACACATGGCATTTATTGTAGTATTGTACACATGGAATTTGTTGTATTGTACACATGACAATATTCTATGATATATCGGGGGTTATAGGAATTTAAGTATTGCACATGTGATGTTTTCTATGATATGTCTGGGATTAGGGGAAAATATTGTAGTATTGTACGTGTGATGTTTTCTATGATATATCTGGTGTTATGGGAATTTTTTAGATTGTACATAAGTTATTATCTGTAATTTATCTTGGGGTTTTGGAATTTATTGTAGTATTGTACACATGACTGTCCTATCTATGGTTTATTTGAAGTAATTGGAATTTCTTGTAGAATTTCCACATGACAATTTCTATGGGATTATGGAAATTTATTGTAGCATTGTATTTATGACATTTTCTCTGATTGATCTGAAGTTATAGGAATTTGGCATGATATTGTACAAACATTTTCTGTGAATTATATGGGGTGTGTAATGAAAATGCCATGGAGTGGAGAAATTCTAGATGCTCTTGAAAGTTAATTTTTGGCCATGGAACTGTAAATGCTGACCTCTGTCTAAGCAAGGAAACTGTTAAGGTCACAATGAGTCTGGAATTGTGTGCATATACATGTTCAGTTCAGTTTTTATCTGAGACCCAACAGAATACTGTACAAGAAGAGGCAAAGGAAACGGACTGAAGACGTGAAGGTGCTGAAGACGAGAAGCGATACCAGTTTTTGTATAAATACAGAAGCCAGTGCAGGTATGTTATTTGCAAATTTGTTAATTAAGGAAGCTCTGAACACTTCTTACTGAAGAGTTCTGATTCTAAGGAAGTTACGCAGTTGGAATGATCTGCCCTGTTTTGTGAAATGGAATAAACAGAAACAATTTACAGTAAATGACACAATATAAAAATGACTACTTGTATCCATAATATATTGGACCAAGATAAAGATCTTATTAAAAAAAAAACATATGTATATTTCCTTAATGAATTAGTAAACATCAGTGATTTTTGTTCCATAATACTTTTTTGGACATTTTATCTGGAGAAATACGGCAAGCACCTTTTGTCAAAGGTGAAGATAAAAATCTACATTTTCATAATTATATGATATAATTATTGATTTTCTTAAAAGAGATAGAAAACATTTTCATGCATGTTTATAAGAGCTTTCTTAAAAGATCTATTTAACCATGATTTTGTGGGAATAAATGATGTACCTATTAATATTCTGTTGTACAATGTAATTAAATTATACCAAAAGAATGACAAGTAGATGTCTCTTACAGCCAAGATCGACACTGATGGTAATCCCCATCTAATGAACATCCTGCTAACTTGACCTTAGATTTACCACCATTCATACCAGAAGTTTGAAATCAATGGAGAGCAGAGTGGCTATGAAGAAATATGCTGAGGGAAACATGAAGAAAGAAAACATGACGGCCTTAGTGAAAGAAATGATATTGTAAGCAAAATTATGATTTATAGAAAATACCTCTTACAAGGTAATTAATTTAAATGTAGTCTGTAGATCAAAAATATTCTGTGAACCCTATTTTAGCAAGATGATTTTTTGATGCATGTATTCTTGCAAAGTGAAATTTTAACAAAATTAGTTAATGATTTACAAATTGATCCTTTCTGAATTAAATATATATATGAGAGTGAAATATTTACTTACAGAATTCTTTCATAAGTACACAAAAATAAAGTTCTTGAAAAAAAGGTGATTTACAGTATAGATGTAAATACTGTAACCCAACTATTATTCGTGTTATCTTTTATTCGTGACTCGTTAGTTTGAAATCAATCCATGACGATTAATTTTTGCAAATGAGGAATTATTCTATACAAATACAAAGCAAAATAAATGGTTCGTGGTGATTAATATTCACGAGTTAAAGTAGGTTGTGAAATTTGCAAATATTTCTTGCACGCGAATAATAGTTGGTTTACAGTAATTAACATACAGTACATTTATAATTATAAGACAAATTTTTTTTATTTTAGGGCTATTTCACAGAAGAGGAGGGAAGAATTCAAGAAGTTTTTCGGGATTTAGAGTTAGCTAAAATTTAAGATGGATTTTTTGGTAAATTTAAAATTTAACTTTTTATCATATTAAAAAATTATTTAAAGATGAAGGAGCAGCATTTATCAGTAATGCTAACTTCTGTTATGATTCTCTTCACAGATGTGGCAATTGTAGACTGGTAGAATTTATCTGCTGTGAATTTGACCAGGATGTATTGGACTGCCTTGATCAACTGTCCATATAATCATTATGGTAAATATCAAAATTCGATTTTAGCCATCTGAACACTTGCCAAATAATGCCAAATTTTAATCCTAGCTAAAATTTCTGCTTTTGCATGTAGTAATGCGTATTCATGAATGATTAATATTCACGAGAATATAATTATTTTAATATTTAATTAGTTCTGGAGGGTCCAAACTCAAACCTAACATTCTTGAGGTACTACAAGCATTAGGAGAGAAGCCATTTGCCATAAAATGTCCAAAATACATTTGAAGTGATGATCATCATCAATGGTAATTTTTTATTTTAAAGATTACGTCGTACTGTATTGTTCAGAAATGCGTAGAACGCAGGTATGGATTCCGGCAGAGGTGCTTCATACGCTTGCCCCCTCTAAAACAAAAAATAAGAGATAATTTTCATTGTCTTACATTGATGTAAGACAGTCATTTATGATATTGATTAAAAGTCATTTATGTGCTAAAATAAGATTCTACAAATTGTGAACTATCAGGAGCTTGGAGGGGGGGGGCTTTTCCCCAAACCTCCAACTGGACCCTGCCTCTCTGGGACCTCAGCAGAACCAATGCCCCTTGCCATTTTAAAGCACCTTCTCTGGGAAAGCAAAATCCTGGATCCACACCTGAAATGTACTTGTGTGAAAGATTTTCTAATTTAAGATTTTTATATAGTTCTGGAAAGCTAGGCTTTACTCATGATGCCTGTCATTACAGGGTTTGAGCTATGTTTTATTAATTTTTTTCTTTCGCGAACAAACAGTCTAACTTGTATTATTGTAGGATAATAAAGTTCTTGTGAATAAAAAGGGATTAACAGTTCTAGTCTTGAAAAATTTACTTCTTCTATTCAATTAAAGTTATTGAAATAAAGTTAGTTAATAATCAACATGAATTATTATTACATTTACACATTTAAATGATTCTCTTCGAGAAGGTTTATTCCAGAATTGGCATAGGTCAATGAATAATATTGAAAATAACCTTTAAATCATTTTAAAAATTTTTTAAAGTATTTGGTTCTTTTAATATTTCAGGCTTTGGGTGAAGGTTGTCTGTAATTGCCAAGTCAACATTTACCGAGCCAATATCTGGTGCCTCTCGCAAGCTGAAGAATATATAGAAAAACCAACATTCATCACATTTGATCTTGCAGCTACCAGACTTGGTAAGTTGTTCAACTAAGATCCTAGTTTTGGCAAAAAGTGGTTGTTTCTATCATTATCTATCATTAACTTTGTCTAAAATATCACAGTAAAAAATGAAAATAAGGGGGGGGGGTGTTTCTATAGACTAAGAACATTATTTTAGGCAAAATTGGGTTGTTTCTATTATTATTATCTGCATTAATACCCTTAATACTTGTACTTTATATATCATGGTAAAAAAATATAATTTAATGTTGTATTTCTATAGTGTTGGACAAGGAGCCTTGCCCTGTATTACTCAAACTGGAGCGGTGGAGGTAGAGTCCGGGGATATTTTCACTATCTGTGTTCTTCCCAGAATTCCTATATGGCCTGGAGGTAGACTCCGGAGATATTAAAATTTCACTGTCGTGTTCTTCCAAGAATTCCCTTAGAGTCTGGAGCAGAGCAAACCACCAGAATAGTCTGTAATGGAACCTTAGTTTTTTCTCATGGATAATTTTGACAATTTTATTGTATTATTGTACAGATGGCATTTTCTAGGGTTAAGGAAATTCAGTGTAGCATTGTACTGACATTTTTATGAATTATCTTCGGTTACGAAAATTTAATTTTGTATTGTTTACTTGATATTTTCTAGGATTTATCTGGAGATATAGAAATTAATGCATTATTGTATTATACTTTATATGATTTATTTGGGTTATTTTAATTATTCAACTGTATAACTCTCTCTGTGGTAAGTTATGTGTAAGTTATTTTCTTTGAATTGTCTTGAATTAATATGAATTTTATGCAGTATTGTATACTTTATTATTTCTATGATATACCTGGGGTCATTGGGATTATGGGAATTTATTGTAGTATTATATACTTTATATGACATTTCTGGGTTATTTGGGATGATGGGAATTTATTGCAGTATTGTATACCTAATAGTTTTTATGATGTATGTGGAATTAAGTGGGATTATAGGGATTTCATGAAGCATTGTATTCTTTATGGTTTTTATGATATATTGGGGGTTAATGGGGTTAGGGAATTTCATGTTGTATACTTTATAGTTTCTAGGATTTATTCGGGGTTAATGGGGTTAGGGAATTTCATGTAGTATTGTCTACTTTATAGTTTCTTAGATATATCTGGGATTATTTGGGGTATTAGAATTTCATGTTGTTTTGTATTTATAGTTTCTATGATTTATTTGGGGTTGAGGGGGTTAGGGAATTTCATGTAGTATTGTATGCTTTATATTTTTTATGATTTATTCAGGGTTAATGGGGTTAGGGAATTTCATGTAGTATTGTGTACTTTATAGTTTCTGTAATATATCGGGGGTAATTAGGGTTATGAGAATTTCATGTAGTATTGTATACTTTATATTTTTTATGATTTATTCGGGGTTAATGGGGTTAGGGAATTTCATTTAGTATTGTGTACTTTATAGTTTCTAGGATTTATTCGGGGTTAATGGGGTTAGGGAATTTCATGTAGTATTGTGTACTTTATAGTTTCTATAATATATCGGGGGTAATTAGGGTTATGAGAATTTCATGTAGTATTGTATACTTTATATTTTTTATGATTTATTCGGGGTTAATGGGGTTAGGGAATTTCATGTAGTATTGTGTACTTTATAGTTTCTATAATTTATTTGGGGTTAATGGGGTTAGGGAATTTCATGTAGTATTGTGTACTTTATAGTTTCTGTAATATATCGGGGGTAATTAGGGTTATGAGAATTTCATGTAGTATTGTATACTTTATAGTTTCTATGATTTATTCGGGGTTAATGGGGTTAGGGAATTTCATGTAGTATTGTGTACTTTATAGTTTCTGTAATATATTGGGGGTAATTAGGGTTATGAGAATTTCATGTAGTATTGTATACTTTATATTTTTTATGATTTATTCAGGGTTAATGGGGTTAGGGAATTCCATGTAGTATTGTGTACTTTATAGTTTCTATGATGTATATTATCTTGGGTTATAGGGATTTGTGTTGGGTTTTCATGCAGTATTGTATACTTTATAGTTTAAGAATAATAGAGTATTGAATACTTGTCTTTTTTTTTTCACAAATTTTGTCTTTTTTAATGAGTTATCTAGCATGCTTGGAACTAATTATTGTAGTATTGTCCATTATTATTAGTATTATGTCATTAATTTTTTTTGATTTTTGGAATTTAATGTATTGTTTTGTGTACATTACACGTCTAGGGTTTATCTGGGGTTATGGGAATTTAAAGTTAAGTATTTTACACATCACATTAAACTATGGGATTTTGTTGTATCATCACACACATGGCATTTCTATAATATATCTAGGTTATAAAGATTTATTGTAGGATTACACACATATAACATTTTCTCTGATTTATGGGGCGGGGGTTATAGATTTATTGTTGTACTGTACATGTGACAATTTCCATAATTGATCTTGGGCTATAATTATAAGGTTATGGGAATTATTGGTCATATTACACACATTACATTTTCTCTGATTTATCTCGGGTTATGGGGTTTAGTTATAGTTTTGAACACAGGATATTTATTAATTTAGGGTTTTGGGAATTTAATAAATTATTTTAAACATGAATTTTCTATGAATTAATTATGGGGTAATGGAATTTAAATGTAATATTATACATATGGTTATAAGAATTCAATGTTATGTTGTACCTGTCATGACATTTTCTATGATTGACCTTGGGATATGTAAATTTTTTGTTGTATTGTATACTTGTTAATTTTATAAAGTATCTGTGCTTTTGTAAATTTAATTTTGTATTGTTAACTTGAATTTTTTTATGATTTTGTCTGGGGTTACACAGGAATTTATTTTAGTTATAACTGCACACTTCATATTATCTGTGATTAATCTAGGGTTTTGGAAATTCAATATACCGGGTAGTACACAATTCTCTATGATTTCTGTGGGATTATGGGAATTAAATTTTTATTGCACACTTTACAATTACTATGAATTATCTAGGGCTATGGGAATCAAGTGTAGCATTGTACAGTCATTACATTTTCTTGGATTTATAGTTGCATGGGGTTATTAGAATTTATCGTGGTATGACACACTAATGTCTTCACATTTTCTATCATATAAATGAATATGGGGTTATAGGAATTTAATACAGTATATTGAATACTTGAAATTTTCTCTGATTTATCTGGGGTCATGGGAATCTATTGTAGTATTTTCTATGAATTATCATTGGTTATGGGAATTCAATTAGGTACTGTGTATAGGTACTTGAAATTTTCTATTAGCTTCTAGGGTTGTGGGAAATTACCTTGCATTATCATAATTTACTGTAGTAATGTATACTTTATATTATTTTCTATGATTTATCTGGGGTTATGTGAATTTATGGTGCATAATGGGAATTTAATGTAGTTATTTGCTTATATTTATTTGGGGGTTGGCATATTCATTTTTTAGATCATAATCTTTATTTTTTTTTATGGTATCTCATTTTCAATTCAAGTTTGTTGAATAATGTGTCTTCCATTCTTTTGTTTGTCTTGTCTATTTTTTTTTTTGGTGGTGGTGGTGGGGGGGGGGGGGGAACAAGGGAAGCATAGGAATAGGAAAATAATGTGGATTTTGCTGAACATTGTATATTGTAATAAAAGATGTTGCTTTGTTTTCATGTGGTTGATTAACATTTACATACATCTACACATAGAAACAATAATGAACTTTGCAGGCATACATGTACATTAATGTCTATATAATGTTTGATTTTTTTCAGTGTCACACATATGTGTCATTAAGTAGGTAAAAGTAATAGTGATTGACCAACTTGTTTTAGGTGTGCATTATTGAAAAGAATTAAGTTTTCTTCAGAGATTAGAACTGGTATGTAAATCAAACTTGCAGAGAATCAAAGTATAATAAGACAAATATATCATGGGAATGCGTTTGATGAGTTAATTGTTAATTAAGCTTGTTTATGATGATAATGTCTTTCCAGAACTAAACATGCAAAACGTTTTACAATACATCTGTGGATGTTTATACTGATGCTTGCAATGGATTCTGAATAAGCCCTACATGTGCTTTAGACACTCATGCAGTACAGTGTGATAGAGCTGCCTTTCTAGTATGATATTCTTTAAGTTGTATCGAACCCATGTTTGCACATATTGTGTGCCTACACATGAATGCTTTGCCCTAATGCAGCTTTGTATGCTGCATCTGACCTATATTTTATGATACAATCTACACTGTTTCATAAATTACTTGCTTTTGTTGCAAGTCAATGAGAACCAGTTTAGCTCATCAGGTACATCCACCTTAAGCTTTGTTTTTCAGATAAATCAGGATTTTGTGCATGTTAACCTTATTTTGTTACATGTAACTTGATACCTTTATATGCTTTATTATGTATTTATTGGGTTTTTTATGTAAATAAATGTGTATTTATTTGTTAGTAGTGTAATTTTTTAAATGCATTTCTAATGTCATATGAAATGATTTAGATAAATGTTCATGTAGAGCTGCCTGCATGGTGCAGTGGTTAGATCTCAAGCCTTTGCTCTAGAGTTGTGGAGTAAAGTGTTGAACCTTAAGTCACAGGTTCGAATCCCACTGTGGGATATGGAGACTGGTACTTCGGATAAGATTGTATCAACCGAGGTCTCATGTCACAGTAGGTGTTGGCAAGAAAAAGATCACTCACTGCTCAGTAGCCCTGAGTGCCAGGTATAGGTTTAAAATTTACAGCCCTCCATCAGCAAGTGCTGATGTCTTAATATGAGTGAAAAATTCTCAAAAGGGGCATTGAACAAAGAAAAGTTTTAAGCTGAACTTCGGTATCTGGAATAATACCATGGATATTTTATGAAAATGTAAAAAGAAAAAAAAAGTTGTTTATCCCAGATTTGAAAGAAAAGTAGTAAGCTGGATGTCCTGAGTGCCAATACATTTTGTCTGAAATTTAGATCTCAAGATTAGATCAGAAAAACTCAAATTAATATTCCAGGTTAGATTTAAATAAAAAAAATGTTCAAATATGTTGAAAAAAAAAAGTTATTTTGAAATGAAACAAAAGAGTGAGGCGAGTTTATTTTCTCGGAAAGTACATGTTTAAATTGTCAGTACCCATGTAATGTCATCTTTGGTATGTAACGGGAAATCCTGGCATAAAACAACACAGAGAAGAATATCCAGTTTTCAATATATTGATCATCATTTCAATATTTATATATGATATAACAACTGGCTCTGAAATTAATATAAAACACACAATAATACTAGAATGGTGCTATAAAAATATAATAATAGATATACATAAGAATCATTATAAACATTGTGTCATAAGTAAATATTTCACTATATGGAATTTACTAATGCTTTACACGTATAAAGGGAGGTAACTCTTATAACCTTAATTGAAATACTTTTCACCATCGTGAAGAGTTATCTTTCTTATTTAGCAAAATAATGAAAGTATGGAACCAAGTCTACCTTACAACTGTAGGTCTTCAAATACGAAAATAATCTATAATAATAAGAAAATTGATAAATTCCTAAGGATATGCGCTTTACAATTCCTCTGTATATGCCTCTGTCTTTGTCCAGGAATTTGCCAGAATTATGTAAACTGATGAAATTATAGAACACCTTTCTACAACTTTCTGCATGTCTTAAAACATCCAAACTGAATAATGTTTACTCTGAGTGTAATACATCTACTACCACCTTTTTCTAAACAC